AACTACCCTTAGCAAATTGTTGGTCGAATTCACTCATAAGTCACTTTCATGGTGGTAATCAATGAGACCGAGTGCTAAGATCCGAATTCTGGATATTGGACTCAAATCTGGTTAAACAAAAATATACGAAAATGTCATCTGCTTAATTCACAAGAACAAACCCAAACTCAAATAATGGCTCGCTGCCACCCGAACGTACTTTTCTGTCTCGACCCTACAAACACTGGGGTAGATTTTGCAGGACCTTTAATATTAAAAGTTATTCAGGAAGGGCTGCTTATTACAAAAGGCTATGTTTGCCTGTTCGTCTGCTTCGCCAACAAGGCTATACATTTAGAACCAACTAGCGATTTATCTACTTATGCCTTTCTCGCCGCTTTCTCCAGATTCATAAGTCGGCGAGGTTGTCCGTCTTGTATATTTTTCCGACAACGGAACCAATTTTGTGGGAGCGGTCGATCTATTAAAGCGAGATCGATTAGCTTCATGAAGAATATTCAAAGTAGCACAATCCAAAACAATTTCAATCAAAATCTTACTAAAAAATTTATCCCGCCTGGCGCTCCGCACATGGGCGGTTGTGGGAGGCCGGCGTGAATCGTTTAAAATGCATTTGCGAAAAAGTATTCAAAAATGAATTTCACATTTGAAGAATTTACAACTATCTTAGCAAGAATTGAAGCCTGCCTTAATTCGCGACCCTTAAGTCCTGGTAGAGATGATCCAAATGACCTTTCCCCGTTAACTCCTGGTCATTCTTAATTGGAACATCAATTCTTACTCCTGCTGAACCGACATTTCCGACACAGATCTTAGTCTAGTAAATCGTTGGAAACGACTCAAAGTTATTTCACAATACTTTTGCAATAGGTGGAAATTAGAATATCTCCACGAACTTCACAGAAGAACTAAATGGAATCGTGAAAGGAGAATATCAAAGAAGGAGATTTAGTAGTCATAAAGGACGAAAGGTTGGCTCCAATGAATGGAAGTTGGGTCGAATTGCAAAAACATATCTCGGTAGCGATCAGAATACGAGGGTTGTAGACTTACGGACATCAAGTGGCAACATTAGCAGACCTATCACAAAAATTGTCAAATTGTTTTCCGACTGACTAGCCGAATCCTACTTAAAAAGAACATAGTACTCGCCTTTGGTTTTTTTCAGATATGGCTGCCTACTTGCCCAATCAAGACTGCCGTTTAGATGATCGCAGCCGCAGTCCCAACCAATCCGCACGTCCAACAGCGAGAAGTTCTAGCAGACCCAGACGCCCAACCGAACCCATTCCCAGCAGACCGGCTCATAGACACCGCAGACTTCCCAGTTCCACATCGCCAGAAAGACGTCAACGAAGCCGCTCCGCTGCAAGATCCCGCCAACGCCAAGAACGACCCAGCTATTGGCAGTACTCCTGTGGGTTGTGTCAGGAGGACCATGCCCTCAGTGCTTGCGAGAGTTTCGCCACCAGACCCCCTTCCAGCGCTATGAGACTGTGGAGCGTAGGGGGTACTGCAGAAATTGCCTTGCCAGAAGTCATTTGGCCCCTGACTGTCCGTCGTTGACTGGTTGCAGGAGGTGCAACAATCGGCATCATACGCTGCTACACGGGGCGTCTCAGCTGGAGGAAGTATCTCTAAACGTGGAAGTTGTAACAACACCAAACTTGCGTGGGATTTGGTATTTGTGCCAACGGCTATGGTGCACATCAAAGCTGACAAAATAGAGGGGTACACCATGATAAGGGCATTAATCAGCCAATCAGCGACGATGTCCAAAATATCGTATGCGGCTTTCCGTAGATTGGGCTTACAATCGCGGATTTACAAAGGGCAGCGATTTACCACCTTTACGGTTTCGCCCCGCCGCACAAACAGCCACTGGAGTCTTAGAGTCAATGCCTTGATATCGAAGATTTGCCCAGGCGCATTTACTCGGACCCGATCCTCGAGGACCCCACAAGAAGTTTCAGAAATTGCGCCCTAGCCGACCCTGATCCCCGAGGCAACAATCCCGTCGATGTGGACTGGGTGCTGACGTTTACTCAGCCATAAGAAAGACGAGTGCAAGGAGGCTGGAATTGGAGATGTCCTGGCCTATGATACCCAACTGGGTTACGTGTTTGCCGGTCCAATAAAAAATATGCCAAAAATATAAAGAACAATATTGTATTTCAAAAATGAATGAACACTTGTCATTCGGGGGCCAGAAATGTTCATCAAAGATGCTATGTTTTTACGCAACAATGTTGTTTGTTACATTACCGGTGGCTGCATAAATAACATCATAAAAAAATGATGTACATATTAGACACATATGCACACACACATGCACATATATGTAGCCACCGGTAAATTCCAATTTGTACACAAAAATTCGTTTATGCAGATGAATATAATTCACTAATGAGAAAGTCTCCAATTTCTCCATCTAGCCCTCTATTGACGTTAAATCCGTTTCTCGACTCAAAGGGTATTATTCGAGCTAATGGCAGATTAGTTCAATCTCCAGCCCTTACATATAGCGAACGACATCCCATAATACTACCACACGGAACTACCCTTAGCAAATTGTTGGTCGAATTCACTCATAAGATCACTTACATGGTGGTAATCAATTGATGACCCGAGTGCTAAGATCCGAATTCTGGATATTTGGACTCAAATCTCTGGTTAAACAAACTATACGAAAATGTCGAATCTGCTTAATTCACAAGAAACAAACCCAAACTCAAATAATGGCCTCGCTGCCACCCGAACGTACTTTTCTGTCTCGACCTTTACAAACACTGGGGTAGATTTGCAGGACCCTTTTTATTAAAAGTTATTCAGGAAGGGCTTGCTTTATTACAAAAGGCTATGTTTGCCTGTTCGTCTGCTTCGCCACCAAGGCTATACATTTAGAACCAACTAGCGATTTATCTACTTATGCCTTTCTCGCCGCTTTCTCCAGATTCATAAGTCGGCGAGGTTGTCCGTCTTGTATATTTTCCGACAACGGAACCAATTTTGTGGGAGCGGTCGATCTATTAAAGCGAGATCGATTAGCTTTCATGAAGAATATTCAAAGTAGCACAATCCAAAACAATTTCAATCAAAATCTTACTAAAAAATTATCCCGCCTGGCGCTCCGCACATGGGCGGTTTGTGGGAGGCCGGCGTTAAATCGTTTTAAATGCATTTGCGAAAAAGTATTCCAAAAATGAATTTCACATTTGAAGAATTTACAACTATCTTAGCAAGAATTGAAGCCTGCCTTAATTCGCGACCCTTAAGTCCTGGTAGCGATGATCCAAATGACCTTTCCCCGTTAACTCCTGGTCATTTCTTAATTGGAACATCAATTCTTACTCCTGCTGAACCCGACATTTCCGACACAGATCTTAGTCTAGTAAATCGTTGGAAACGACTCAAAGTTATTTCACAATACTTTTGCAATAGGTGGAAATTAGAATATCTCCACGAACTTCACAGAAGAACTAAATGGAATCGTGAAAAGGAGAATATCAAAGAAGGAGATTTAGTAGTCATAAAGGACGATAGGTTGGCTCCAAATGAATGGAAGTTGGGTCGAATTGCAAAAACATATCTCGGTAGCGATCAGAATACGAGGGTTGTAGACTTACGGACATCAAGTGGCAACATTAGCAGACCTATCACAAAAATTGTCAAATTGTTTTCCGACTGACTAGCCGAATCCTACTTAAAAAAGAACATAGTACTCGCCTTTGGTTTTTTTCAGATATGGCTGCCTACTTGCCCAATCAAGACTGCCGTTTAGATGATCGCAGCCGCAGTCCCAACCAATCCGCACGTCCAACAGCGAGAAGTTCTAGCAGACCCAGACGCCCAAGATGGATACAGTTTACACTAGATGCTTCTGTTGAGATTCGTGGATTTTGTGACGCATCGGGAGCGCGTATGGAGCAACGCTATATGTTCGGATTGAAAAAACTGACCATACCACACACACCTTTTTATTAGCAGCAAAGACTCGTGTAGCACCAATCAAAAAACTATCAATACCAAGGCTCGAATTATGTGGGGCAGTATTACTTTCCAAATTAGTAAAATCTATTACAAACAGTCTACAAATATCAAAATATTCAACACATTTTTGGACAGACTCTACTATCGTCTTGGCCTGGTTAAAAAGCCTCCTTGTCACTGGAGCACCTTTGTGGGAAATAGAGTCTCGGAAATATCTGATAATGTTGGGCAAGAAAACTGGAAACATGTTGACTCTGCAAGCAACCCAGCTGACATTGCTAGTCGTGATGTTCTCCAACTGAACTAACGACTCATGAGCTCTGGTGGCATGGACCTCAATGGCTCAAATGCCAAAAGATCGTTGGCCATCGCAAGATATCCCAAACGACACAAATTTAGAGGCTAAAGCTGTAAAGTTCTGACTATATTTCAAGAAGAGATGATCCATTAAAAAATTTCTCATCATTGGCAAAAGTCTACCGATCATACGCCTATGCTCTGCGATTTTGGAAAAATACTGGCGCAAATCGGCAAAATCTTCGCTCCTCATCAATAGATCTTACCGCAGCCGAAATCCAAGATGGAAAACGATCTTGCATAATTTGTACACAAAAATTCGTTTATGCAGATGAATATAATTCACTAATGAGAAAGTCTCCAATTTCTCCATCTAGCCCTCTATTGACGTTAAACCCGTTTCTCGACTCAAAGGGTATTATTCGAGCTAATGGCAGATTAGTTCAATCTCCAGCCCTTACATATAGCGAACGACATCCCATAATACTACCACACGGAACTACCCTTAGCAAATTGTTGGTCGAATTCACTCATAAGATCACTTTACATGGTGGTAATCAATTGATGACCCGAGTGCTAAGATCCGAATTCTGGATATTTGGACTCAAATCTCTGGTTAAACAAACTATACGAAAATGTCGAATCTGCTTAATTCACAAGAAACAAACCCAAACTCAAATAATGGCCTCGCTGCCACCCGAACGTACTTTTCTGTCTCGACCCTTTACAACACTGGGGTAGATTTGCAGGACCCTTTAATATTAAAAGTTATTCAGGAAGGGCTTGCTTTATTACAAAAGGCTATGTTTGCCTGTTCGTCTGCTTCGCCACCAAGGCTATACATTTAGAACCAACTAGCGATTTATCTACTTATGCCTTTCTCGCCGCTTTCTCCAGATTCATAAGTCGGCGAGGTTGTCCGTCTTGTATATTTTCCGACAACGGAACCAATTTTGTGGGAGCGGTCGATCTATTAAAGCGAGATCGATTAGCTTTCATGAAGAATATTCAAAGTAGCACAATCCAAAACAATTTCAATCAAAATCTTACTAAAAATTTATCCCGCCTGGCGCTCCGCACATGGGCGGTTTGTGGGAGGCCGGCGTTGAATCGTTTAAAATGCATTTGCGAAAAAGTATTCCAAAAATGAATTTCACATTTGAAGAATTTACAACTATCTTAGCAAGAATTGAAGCCTGCCTTAATTCGCGACCCTTAAGTCCTGGTAGAGATGATCCAAATGACCTTTCCCCGTTAACTCCTGGTCATTTCTTAATTGGAACATCAATTCTTACTCCTGCTGAACCCGACATTTCCGACACAGATCTTAGTCTAGTAAATCGTTGGAAACGACTCAAAGTTATTTCACAATACTTTTGCAATAGGTGGAAATTAGAATATCTCCACGAACTTCACAGAAGAACTAAATGGAATCGTGAAAAGGAGAATATCAAAGAAGGAGATTTAGTAGTCATAAAGGACGAAAGGTTGGCTCCAAATGAATGGAAGTTGGGTCGAATTGCAAAAATATATCTCGGTAGCGATCAGAATACGAGGGTTGTAGACTTACGGACATCAAGTGGCAACATTAGCAGACCTATCACAAAAATTGTCAAATTGTTTTCCGACTGACTAGCCGGAATCCTACTTAAAAAAGAACATAGTACTCGCCTTTGGTTTTTTTCAGATATGGCTGCCTACTTGCCCAATCAAGACTGCCGTTTAGATGATCGCAGCCGCAGTCCCAACCAATCCGCACGTCCAACAGCGAGAAGTTCTAGCAGACCCAGACGCCCAACCGAACCCATTCCCAGCAGACCGGCTCATAGACACCGCAGACTTCCCAGTTCCACATCGCCAGAAAGACGTCAACGAAGCCGCTCCGCTGCAAGATCCCGCCAACGCCAAGAACGACCCAGCTATTGGCAGTACTCCTGTGGGTTGTGTCAGGAGGACCATGCCCTCAGTGCTTGCGAGAGGTTTCGCCACCAGACCCCCTTCCAGCGCTATGAGACTGTGGAGCGTAGGGGGTACTGCGGAAATTGCCTTGCCAGAAGTCATTTGGCCCCTGACTGTCCGTCGTTGACTGGTTGCAGGAGGTGCAACAATCGGCATCATACGCTGCTACACGGGGCGTCTCAGCTGGAGGAAGTATCTCTAACGTGGAAGTTGTAACAACACCAAACTTTGCGTGGGATTTGGTATTTGTGCCAACGGCTATGGTGCACATCAAAGCTGACAAAATAGAGGGGTACACCATGATAAGGGCATTAATCAGCCAATCAGCGACGATGTCCAAAATATCGTATGCGGCTTTCCGTAGATTGGGCTTACAATCGCGGATTTACAAAGGGCAGCGATTTACCACCTTTACGGTTTCGCCCCGCCGCACAAACAGCCACTGGAGTCTTAGAGTCAATGCCTTGATAATCGAAGATTTGCCCAGGCGCATTTACTCGGACCCGATCCTCGAGGACCCCACAAGAAGTTTCAGAAATTGCGCCCTGCCGCCCTGATCCCCGAGCAACAATCCCGTCGATGTGGAACTGGCTGACGTTTACTCAGCCATAAGGAAAGACGAGTGCAAGGAGGCTGGAATTGGAGATGTCCTGGCCTATGATACCCAACTGGGTTACGTGTTTGCCGGTCCAATAAAAATATGCCAAAAATATAAAGAACAATATTGTATTTCAAAAATGAATGTAAACACTTGTCATTCGGGGGCCAGAAATGTTCATCAAAGATGCTATGTTTTTACGCAACAATGTTGTTTGTTACATTACCGGTGGCTGCATAAATAACATCATAAAAAATGATGTACATATTAGACACATATGCACACACACATGCACATATATGTAGCCACCGGTAAATTCCAATTTGTACACAAAAATTCGTTTATGCAGATGAATATAATTCACTAATGAGAAAGTCTCCAATTTCTCCATCTAGCCCTCTATTGACGTTAAATCCGTTTCTCGACTCAAAGGGTATTATTCGAGCTAATGGCAGATTAGTTCAATCTCCAGCCCTTACATATAGCGAACGACATCCCATAATACTACCACACGGAACTACCCTTAGCAAATTGTTGGTCGAATTCACTCATAAGATCACTTTACATGGTGGTAATCAATTGATGACCCGAGTGCTAAGATCCGAATTCTGGATATTTGGACTCAAATCTCTGGTTAAACAAACTATACGAAAATGTCGAATCTGCTTAATTCACAAGAAACAAACCCAAACTCAAATAATGGCCTCGCTGCCACCCGAACGTACTTTTCTGTCTCGACCCTTTACAAACACTGGGGTAGATTTTGCAGGACCCTTTAATATTAAAAGTTATTCAGGAAGGGCTTGCTTTATTACAAAAGGCTATGTTTGCCTGTTCGTCTGCTTCGCCACCAAGGCTATACATTTAGAACCAACTAGCGATTTATCTACTTATGCCTTTCTCGCCGCTTTCTCCAGATTCATAAGTCGGCGAGGTTGTCCGTCTTGTATATTTCCGACAACGGAACCAATTTTGTGGGAGCGGTCGATCTATTAAAGCGAGATCGATTAGCTTTCATGAAGAATATTCAAAGTAGCACAATCCAAAACAATTTCAATCAAAATCTTACTAAAAAATTTATCCCGCCTGGCGCTCCGCACATGGGCGGTTTGTGGGAGGCCGGCGTTAAATCGTTTAAAATGCATTTGCGAAAAAGTATTCCAAAAATGAATTTCACATTTGAAGAATTTACAACTATCTTAGCAAGAATTGAAGCCTGCCTTAATTCGCGACCCTTAAGTCCTGGTAGCGATGATCCAAATGACCTTTCCCCGTTAACTCCTGGTCATTTCTTAATTGGAACATCAATTCTTACTCCTGCTGAACCCGACATTTCCGACACAGATCTTAGTCTAGTAAATCGTTGGAAACGACTCAAAGTTATTTCACAATACTTTTGCAATAGGTGGAAATTAGAATATCTCCACGAACTTCACAGAAGAACTAAATGGAATCGTGAAAGGAGAATATCAAAGAAGGAGATTTAGTAGTCATAAAGGACGATAGGTTGGCTCCAAATGAATGAAGTGGGTCGAATGCAAAAACATATCTCGGTAGCGATCAGGAATACGATGGGTTGTAGACTTACGGACATCAGTGGCAACATTAGCAGACCTATCACAAAAATTGTCAACTTGTTTTCCGACTGACTAGCCGGAATCCTACCTTAAAAAAGAACATAGTACTCGCCTTTGGTTTTTTTTTTCAGATATGGCTGCCTACTTGCCCATCAAGACTGCCGTTTAGATGATCGCAGCCGCAGTCCCAACCAATCCGCACGTCCAACAGCGAGAATTCTAGCAGACCCAGACGCCCAACCGAACCCATTCCCAGCAGACCGGCTCATAGACACCGCAGACTTCCCAGTTCCACATCGCCAGAAAGACGTCAACGAAGCCGCTCCGCTGCAAGATCCGCCAACGCCAAGAACGACCCAGCTATTGGCAGTACTCCTTTGGGTTGTGTCAGGAGGACCATGCCCTCAGTGCTTGCGAGAGGTTTCGCCACCGACCCCTTCCAGCTCTATGAGAATGTGGAGCGTAGGGGGTACTGCGAAATTGCCTTGCCAGAAGTCATTTGGCCCCTGACTGTCCGTCGTTGACTGGTTGCAGGAGGTGCAACAATCGGCATCATACGCTGCTACACGGGGCGTCTCACTGGAGGAAGTATCTCTAAACGTGGAAGTTGTAACAACACCAAACTTTGCGTGGGATTTGGTATTTGTGCAACGGCTAGGGGCACATCAAAGCTGACAAAATAGAGGGGTACACATGATAAGGGCAATTAATCAGCCAATCAGCGACGATGTCCAAAAATTATCGTATGCGGCTTTCCGTAGATTGGGCTTACATCGCGGAATTTACAAAGAGCAGCGATTTACCACCTTTAGGTTTCGCCCCGCCGCACAAACAGCATGGAGTCTTAGAGTCAATGCCTTGATAATCGAAAGATTTGCCCAGGCGCATTTACTCGGACCCGATCCTCGAGGACCCCACAAGAAGTTTCAGAAATGGCCCTAGCGACCCGATCCCGAGTGCAAGAGGCTGAATTGGGAGATGTCTGGCCATAGGATACCCAACATGGGTTACGTGTTTGTCGGTCCAATAAAAAATATTGCCAAAAATATAAAGAACACTATTGTATTTCAAAATGAAGTAAACACTTGTCATTCGGGGCCAGAAATGTTCATCAAAGATGCTATGGTTTTACGCAAACAAGTGTTGTTTGTTACATTACCGGTGGCTGCATAAATAACATCATAAAAAAATGATGTACATATTAGACACATATGCACACACACATGCACATATATGTAGCCACCGGTAAATTCCAATGCTGAATTCAAATAAATAAGCATCGTCACCAGCCAAAAACAGGTTTGCTGTGACTATTGCAATTGGAGTTAGACCAGTTCTGTCTCGAATTTAAAAGCGCGTACGCAAGTTTAGATGATAACAAATTTTGATCAATTTCCACCAATATGGGTATCAAATAAAAGGGCATGACAAGAAGATACATTATACTATACAAGTTTAATATTTAAGATGGCGCAGCCACTAAATGGCGTATAATAATAGATTTAAATTTAGAAATTGTATCTGGAATTCTGGTATCCTCAAGTCACGACTTTGTATCGTGTAAAGAATTGTGTGGCGTTAGAGTGGCTAAATTGTCAACCGTTTAAAAGTCATTACTGGGAACAAAATGGTACAAAATATAAAATTTGAATTTTATTTTTTTATGCATATGTTTATAATTCCCACGACTGTATCTATTTTTTATTATTTTTTGGTTTTTAGTACATTTATCTTAAACATACAATGTATGTGTAACATAAACCTTTTAACTAAAAGTTTTTAACTATTTATTTTTTTTTTTTTTAACCAACAAATGTTCGTATATAAACTTTTGAATGCATATAAAATCAAAAGTAGTAGCGACGCGCACCGGGTTCAGCTAGTATTTTTTATATATGCCAAAAATTTCAGTTTTGATTAGAAAAATACTTCTTAAAGCACTCAACATCTTAATGCTAAGTTCACATGGCACGTAATTCTCTCTCTATTCGTTGTTCGACCATTAATTATGAAATATCTACTTATATTACTCACAAAATTTTCTGAGCGAACAAAGATTTTTGTTCTTTGTTCCATTTAAATCACTCTCAGAACTAGTATGAAATGTCTGCCATCCTTAACAAATGAGAGCATTATCGGCAAAAGTAAATTATGGCATGTCGAAATTCCAAATAGAAAATATTTATGAAATTTTAAAAATTTTCAGGAAGAATGAAAATTATGAACGAAAGATAGAATGTTAAATGGCGTATGTGCATTCAAACGAAAGTAAACTCGTCCGAGGTACGCTTTTTGTCCACGAGTTGGAATTTCGACAGACAACTGGAAACAAAAGAGGCAATATTTTCAAAATGTTTGTACTGACAAACATTTTTTTGACAAGTGACTCTCCAATCTATGATCTGTTCCAGTACCTGCAAGAATCTACTACTTTCGCGCTTTTCTTCGATATCATAAAGAGAAAATCTGTTATCGTAGTAAAAACTTTTACATTCTTGGCACGTGATTCGCTCTCTATTCGTTGTTCGACCATTAATTATGAAACATCTACTTGATTCCCCACACAAAATGTTCTGTGCGAACAAAAATTTTTGTTCTTTCTTCCAATCAAATCACTCTCAGAACTACGATGAAATTTTTTTCAGGAAGACTGAAAATTATAAATGAAAGGTATACTGTTGAATGACGTATGTAAATTTTGTTTTCTCTCATACGAGGTACGCTTTTTGTCCACGAGTTGGAATTTCGACAGAAAACTGTAAACAAAAGAGGCAATATTTTCAAAATTTTGTATCGACAAAAACATTTTTGACAAAAGACTCTTCAACTGAATTTTAAAACAGAAAAATACAAAAGTATATGTAAAATGTCCACATTTTTACAAAAATTTCAAAACATGAATGAATATTGCTAGTTTAAAGATAAAATAAATTTTTGGAGAAAAAAACAAGAATTTCTTCTATTATAATTGATGATAATTTCATGTACTTTCGTACAAATTCCTATAAGAATCGATAAATAAAAAATTTGAAAAAAGGAATTATGTTACTATGAATTACGAATCTGATTCTGATTGAAAGTGCAATGAGAACATAGCATAACGTACTTTAAGTTTCGCCTATGCCTAATGGGAAACAATGGTTAACTATTATTTCCGGCATAGATTTCACAACACTGAAACTCCAAATTACAATCAATTCGATAGAAATTGTAAAAAACAGGCAGAAGTACAAATGAGACGAGACGTATATATTCCAATCATCATAGGAATGTTGTATAAAGGTTTTAGAATACATGAGTAGGTTGATAAAACTAAATACCTTACAACATGGTCTTCTAAAAGTTACGAATTCAAAATTACTTTTGTTTTGGAAAATGTTGCCAAGACCTTTAAATAATACTAATAATTGAGATTTGAAAATGTTTTTAAATACTATGATAAAACCAATATAAAGATGTACTAGTGGATAGGAAATAAATCGTAAAGTGGACTTTTTTGTGACAAACTATTTATAGCCTCGAAAGGTTATATGAATGAAACCAATATAAAAAGACAAAATTTAACTATGTGCGTGAAATAAATTTAAATTTTGTTGTTGCAAAATGGTCAGGCTTTATCCCTTCATTGTTGTTTTTATAAAAACAACGTTTGTTTATTAGTGAAGAACGATGGTAATGTTTACCAGGGGGTAAGGCAGGGAATACATAGGTTTCGGAAAGAGCCAACAATCCTCATCAGTTCCCTTGTTTTTTGTCTGGGATATTCTCCCCAGAAGTTATTTTAAAAATAACTTCTATGACAAAAAACATTTTTTACCCAAATGACGAGATCGTAAGCTCAATAGAAGAGGAACCAAAGAATTAAATAAAACTAAATTCTTTTGGAAAGTCTTCTAAATCTTACAACCGCACTTATAAACATTTACATCTTTCTCCACTTGTTATGCTTTCGTTCAACCTGAACGAAGTAGCATAACCATGTAAGTTGGTTTTGTCTGTTACAACAAAAACCCCTTCGTCGACCGTGCCTTGTCTATTAATAAAACAGTGTGGCTTGTTTGTTCGGGATACCGTAGTATTTTGTTGTTGCAAAATGGTCAGGCTTTATCCCTTCATTGTTGTTTTTATAAAAACAACGTTTGTTTATTAGTGAAGAACGATGGTAATGTTTACCAGGGGTAAGGTAGGGAATACCTAGGTTTCGGAAAGAGCCACCAATGCTCATCAGTTCCCTTGTTTATTGTCTGGGATATTCTCCCCAGAAGTTATTTTAAAAATAACTTCTATGACAAAAAAAATTTTTTACCCAAGTGACGAGATCGTAAGCTCAATAGAAGAGGAACCAAAGAATTAAATAAAACTAAAATTCTTTTGGAAAGTCTTCTAAATCTTACAACCGCACTTCAGGTTGAACGAAAGCATAACAAGTGGAGAAAGATGTAAATGTTTACAAGTGCGGTTGTAAGATTTAGAAGACTTTCAGGTTGGACCCACTGTAGGAAAATGGTTAGGGATGCACCTTTATAGTGTTCATTTTCGGAAAGAGCATCGAAAATGCTCCTAGACCACTTACTCTAATAATCCAACCCCATCTGGAAATCCCACAGTGGCCAGACTTATATTTTTATATGGTCACTGTAGGAGAAATTGCTTTGGACCCACTGTGGGAAAATTGTTAGAGATGCACCCTTATGGTGTTCATTTTTGGAAAGAGCATCGAAAATGCTCCTAGACCACCTTTTCTCATAATCCAAACCCATCTGGAATTCCCACAGTGGTCAGACTTATATTTCATATGGTCACTGGAGGAGAAATTGGTTTGGACCCACTGTGGGAAAATGGTTAGGGATGCACCTTTATGGTGTACATTTTCGGAAAGAGTATCGAAAATGCTCCTTAACCAATGATTCTCATAATCCAAACCCATCTGGAATTCCCACAGTGGCCAGACTTATATTTCATTTGGTCACTGTAGGAGAAATTGGTTTGGACCCACTGTGGGAAAATGGTTAGGGATGCACCCTTATGGTGTTCGTATTTAGAAAGAGCATCGAAAATGCTCCTAGACCACTTATTCTCATAATCCAAACCCATCTGGAATTCCCACAGTGGCTAGACTTATATTTCATATGGTCACTGTAGGAGAAATTGGTTTGGACCCACTGTGGGAAAATGGTTAGGGATGCACCCTTATGGTGTTCATATTTAGAAAGAGCATCGAAAATGCTCCTAGACCACTTATTCTCATAATCCAAACCCATCTGGAAATCCCACAGTGGCCAGACTTATATTTCATGTGGTCTTCTTAGGAGAAATTGGTTTGGACCCACTGTGGGAAAATGGTTAGGGATGCACCGCTATGGTGTCCATTTTCGGAAAGAGTATCGAAAATGCTCCTAGACCACTTATTCTCATAATCCAAATCCATCTGGAAATCCTACAGTGGCCAGACTTATATTTCATATGGTCACTGTAGGAGAAATGGGTTTGGACCCACTGTGGCAAAATGG